GAAAAAAAGGGTAAAATGTGGATAAAATGTAAACGCAATCATCTGATAATAAAAACAATAACAAATCCCAAGACAGAACATTGCCTAAGCTGCGAAGAAATCACAATGGAACAGGAATTGCCAGGAAAAATTGAGCTGAAATCGTGAGGTCGGTTGAGGGATCCTTCACTGCCAAACCTGGGCTCCTTCGTGCTATTTCCATTCATCCGAAAAGCCCTCTGTCTGGGAGAGAGAAAAGGGGAAAAAGCATGAAGACCGAGCCTGACACACACCTCTGGGGTTCCCCAGAGCAGCGGATGGGCAGCTTCAGCAAAGCTGCCTCCTGCAGCCCTGCCGTGTCCTGGGCACTGAGCACTTACACTCACACGTAGGATACGTAATCACTCCATCCTGGCACACTGCTCTAAATTTCTCAGGGTGTGAAGCTTGCTGGTACCACCACTTGCATTCAAACAAAATATAATCCCCAGTGCGGAAGGTGGAGGGGCTCGACCAGCTTGATGACTGTAGTTGAATGTGGTTCATTTCCATCAACCTCTCATTCAGGGTACAGTCCTCTGAAAAAAGTACTTCCATTATTTGCCTGTAGACCTCTTGCTGGACAACTGATGCTGTGGCAATGCTGGTGCTCCGGCACGAGCCCCGAGAGCCCTCTCCCCAGCAGTCCTTCCAGCTCAGTGCCCATCAGCAGCTCTGCCCCTCACCGCCTGCAGCTTACAAGGATGCTCCCACACCCTGGCTGCCTCCTGGGCATTCCCCCCGAAAACCTAAAGGCTTTCCCCTTGGCTTCAGCACGGAAAATGCAACAACACTGCACCGATGCTCTGGCCAAAGTGCAGAAGACTTACTTACTTGCTGGCTTGCACCGTGGGTATTCTAACGTCCCCTCCACACACTCTGCTCTGAACGGGGAAGAGGCTGGGTCCTCCGAATAGCCTCTTTTACAGCGAAATTCAATAACGTCACCCGATCTGGAATACAGCTTTCTTCCTGTCAGCCATTTCAGCTCAATATTGTTTCTGCCCATGTCTTCTTCAGATGCTGTACAGGCCACTTGAAAAGGCAAAAGAAAGTTGTCATTCCATACGGACACGCCACGTGTAGCGTTTTTCCCCCAGAGCCCACAGAAGTGCTTTGCATCAAAAAAGACTTCCACCTATTTGCTCTGACCCTCTGTTACTGGTGACAGCAAAGAAAGACATTCACGTCCAAACTAAAGGAATGGAGACCGTGGCTGAGAACTCACACAGAGCTGTGGTGAAGCCCTTCCGCTCTGGCAGTCCAGCCACACAGGACAAGATCGAAGCAGGGGTGGGGAAGTTCCGCAGCGAACCTCCCCGTGTCTTTTCCAAGATCCATCCTTCCCTTCTGCCCAGAACTTCTCTACATTTGTTTCCTCGTGGCCGTGTCATGGACACGACCCTGCGTTTCCCCAGCAGTGCCCTGCACTCAGACCCATCCTCCCTGCCCACTGCCTGTTGATGGAGATCTCCTCACACACGAGGGTTCAGCCAAACTCCCCTCCTCTTGAACGCGCTGCGGCGGCGAGGGACAGCAGGCAGCAGAGGAGACAACAAGAGCTAATGTCAAGAAGAAACTCCTTGTGGACAAAGGAGAACTCGTTGCTGTTCTGCCCTGCTGGCATCGCAGCCCCAGCACAAGCGCTGCTGCACAGGTCCTGCCTCGGGCTCTGAGAAAGCGACAACAGGAGCAGTCACACAGCCTCTGGCCACACAGCACATGCTTCAGCCTACCTAGGCAAACTGGGGGGCTTGTCCACTGCCCATCAGTGCAGGTGATATACTGAGATCCTTCCAGCACGTAGAGGTTTGGGCATTTGTACTCCAGTGTTGCACCCTCTGAGTATTCTTGCATGGGTAAGGACAGAAGGTCTCCATTTTCAATAACCGGAGGCGAGCCACATTTCCCACCTTTCCCTGGAAGAAAACTCCCAGTCAGAGAGAAAGCCCAGGAAGTCAAGGGCTGCCTCCCAAAATCAGGCCTGGCCAGCAACCGCTCTCAGCCTCAGGGTAGTTCTCCAGATGTGGCCCTATCGATTAAAGCCACTTGGGTCTCTCAGCTGGTAAACTCTTCTGAAGAGACCCCGGCAAAAGGGCTTTTTCCTGAGAGCACCAGGCACGTCGTGTCTGTGCACAGCAAAGAGGCTGAAGCTGGAGAAGTAAATGCCACGCAGTCAGCTCCGGTCTCACGGGCAGGCGACTGCATGGAAAGAGAGAGAAATCACCTCTGCACGTTGGCAGCTCTGTCCAGGTCCCGTTCTGACATGCTACGGTGGAAGCCCCAGTCATCTCAAAACCTCGCCAGCACTGATAGCGAGCACTCTCCCCAGGCAAGTACCTCGACTTTTTAACGCCTTGGATTTTACCACCAGCAATTTCAGGAGGAGGTTTGCACGTCGCATCTGAAAAGAGACACTGCTGCAGTCACCTTTGCAGGGGTTGAGCTGTTCCCCTCTACACCCTTGCTACAATTTCTGCCCAGATTTTCTGCCTCAGGTGGGTCACAGCTCCAGGAGCTCACTGTGGAGATAGCAAAGAGGAGTGACAGAGAACACTC